TACTGCTTGACTTTTTTTACCCTCATCAAGTTTTAATGGAAAAAAATGTAATTCTGAACCACAGGAATAGTTTAATTAGAAGGGCACACTTTCCTTATTCTTTTACTTCATTTCCTCCAAAGTTCCTCAAGCTATAATATCACAAAACTTTTCTAGCAATAATAAATTCTTCTGAAATGCTTGGTGAAAAACAGCATCCAAATGCAAGCAGCCCGCCTCTAGAACACTGAAATTAGCTAACAGGTCAAACACACTGAATGTATGTACTCGAATAAAGGCCAAATTCTCCTCTCATTAATGCCTCCTCCAACTGATTTCAGAGTACTTGAATTAAGCATGAGGGCAGACTTTGAGTGTAAGAATATTTTTGCATGAGTAAAATATTGAGAAAAAAGCTTCACATGCCCTCTCTTGTTTTATACCTCACAGATGGAAATTCTTTTAACACATTGAATGTTCAATGTGACTATGCATCTAAGGCTTTTTGATGTACTTGCATCCTCACCCATGTAGTCCATAAGGTCAGCAGGATGCTTGTAGTGTTGATCTTTGCTTTTTCAGTTCTCCAGCAGGGATGATAGAAGGGACCCCACAACTTCATGCCAATGCGTGGAAGGTTTCCTCAGCTTGTTCGGTGCCTGTCAATATTCCTATGGTTGATCCCTGCAACGTTAATCAGCAAAATGGTATGTTTTCACAGGGGAGCCTGGAATTACCTGTATCTTATTATTATGGTACATTTTTTGTTTTCTCTGTGAATGAGTTGCACATACATGTATTTCAACTTCAGTTTTAGATGTGTACTCTTTCTTTCCTTTTTCTTTTTTGGCAAAGACCATTCTTTCCATACATTTAGCATGTAAAATGAAGTTAGTCCTCCGTAAATACAAGCTAGCTGATCATTTAATGCTGGGTGTACTGGCCATGAGTCCTAAATTCTGCTAATACACATGCAGAGTGCTAGGCAGAACACCATCTGTAGTCCTGTAAATTATGCCAGTCAAGAGGAACGATGTGATGCATGTTTGTAGGTTGACAAAGAAAGTACAGGAGACAGTGTCTTGCCCAGACAGTGTTCAGATCAAAAGTCCGTCTCTGGCTTCTCCATGCTTGTTGCATTAAAAGATTCCTTATCGTCCATCAATGCTGTCTGACACAAACTGATGCAAACAATCTGAGATCCATGGATTTGTTCCAATTACTGAGTAAAGATTTAGTTTTGGCTGGTTAACGTGCCTATGTTTTGTATTGAACTTTCACTGTCTCCTCCTTTCCATGTTGCTGTCCTTTTCAATTAATGAAGACAATGGGCAGACAGTAGTTGCCAATTCTGACAGAATTTAGTCTAATGTTTTTAATGGTTCAGACATAAGGCCTCACTAAGGATGTGGGATTTGGCTGTATTTAGAGCCTGTGGGAGCAAGCTTAGAATAACCATAAACCTTTAAGAATCTGGGGCATTCTAAGACTTTTTATGCCTTCAGCATTGGCTGTCTTCTAAATCAGTACATCTCAGCCAAGTTAGCACTCTCCGAGATACTTCATGCCTCACCTTCAGTTCTGTGCTTCCTCAGTGAAGGTGGAGTTTGACATAAATGTAAGCTGCTTAGAGCAGGAGGGTGGACTACATGACCTTCTGAGGTCCCTTCCAGCCTGAATTTTCCTGTGATCCTGTAATCATCACTGGAAAAAGCAGTCCCTGAGTAAGTGGTCCTGCCCCACGCTACCTCCTGTGCTGAGCCAGCACAAGCATTTTTCCAGGTCTGTGATGATCTTAATCTGATGAAACTGAAAAAGAAACAATTATTTGTTTGTTTACTTACTTTGTCACGTTACTTTTCAACGAAGTCAACTTCACTTCTTGAATCTAGTTTACTGAGGGACTCCAGAAATCCTTGTGTCAGTGTGTGTATGTGGGAATGAACAGGGAAGATGAAGGATAGGGACACTCTTTTAGCAGCAAAGTTGGCTTAAATATGATCCACACTATGGTATTCCTGAGATACTCCACCACCTGTGGTGGTAGTATGCTTCAGTGGTAAGAGGAGGGTCTGTTGGTGCTAGAAGGTATATGGCCAGCGTGGGACTTGCATGCCCTTGAGCTCCAGTTTGTAATGCTTCCTGAGTCCACATGCCAAGAAGTATATGGCCATTGCTGATTTCAAAGCTAAATGAAACATCAAGTAGGAAAAAACATATTCCAAGCTTTGGAGGACTCTTCTAACTAACTCTTTTGAAATATATTTTTTTGCCATTTAAGTTTCCTGCACTACTAGAGGAAGGCATAACTGTTTTTATATAGTTATTTTTATCTTAAGTGGATTTTATTGTTGAGGGAGTTGCTTACAATATCAATTTTAAACTATAGAACTTTGCAGAAAGACATTGTATACAAATTTTTGTTGCACAACTGGCTATGTTTGGTTTTAATATTCTGTGCTATTAATTTGACTAACTGTTATATTAAAATGGATCTGGCTAAAACAATGTCACCTTCTCTTAGCTGGGTATGCATCTCACTGTGATATCATCAATCAAGAAGTTTTTGCTCCCTGCCATGCCTACATCAGTCCAGGATTATACTACCAGCTATGCCGCTTCGACGCATGCAAATGCGGAAGCAGCTGTTTGTGTAATGCTTTGGCACACTATGCTTACGTCTGTGGCAAGCACGGGATCATTGTTGACTTCAGATCTCATATTTCTTACTGTGGTGAGTAATGTTTGCAGAACAGAGTATCTTTTAGAAATGTGTAAAATTCTACAAATATCATTCGCTCCACAAAATACAGGGATTGGCCTTTTTTGCTGAAAACTAGAATGGTGCCATGGGCTAATGACATACTGAGGGGAGAATGCTAATAGCCTTTATGTTAGGCATCTGAGTTGGGGACCCTGAGCTACCTCACAAGGGGTGCCTGTCCCTTTCTGTTGGCTACAGAGAGAATTTAAATTTCTGACTTTGGACCCCTAAGTCATATGGAAGCCTCTATTAGGCTAAAGTAATCAGGGAGTTGCAGGATCAGGGCTGTTCCCTAAGGGAAGGCAAGCTGGGGTGGAAGGCGCTCCCCAGGATGGGCAGGGCAGGGTGGGCAGTGATTTGCCAAGTAGGATATAGCAATGATTTAAAACAAGGCATTTCTAAACCATAGAGTAATGCCTCAACCTTAACTGCACCATTCTTCCTCTCTTGGAAACCTGAGTTACTAGACAGGCACAACCACCACACACGCACACACTTAACATATATAAAGAATAGACACCTACTGCTTACAAAATAGACAATTCCAGCCAAGGAATTGTCTAACACAAACCCATCTGAATCTAAACATTTCTACCTTAAGAAACTTAAGAGATGCTGGGGGAGGGGAACCTCAATCCATCCCACTCCTACCAGTTTGATGCCAGGGCCAGCAATAGATGCCCAGAGCCTGGAGAAGGAACACAGGTCAGCAGGAGAGTGCCTGAAGAGCAGCACAAAGGAACTCCAGCCAGTGAGACAGCTTCATCGGGGGCCCAACTTAAATGCCTCTATGCAAACGCACGTAGCATGGGGAATAAACAAGAGGAGTTGGAGACATGCGCACACCTGCAGGGCTACGACCTTATTGGCATCACGGAGACATGGTGGGATGGCTCCTATGACTGGAGTGTTGGGATGGAGGGATACAGGCT